ATCCTGGTTTATTTTCTTCTGAAGAAAAGCTGAAGTCCAGGATCTGGTCTTAGAGAAATCTGGGGATTGTTTAACTATATACAGTAGTAGGAATAAACAAAAGCAGACAGACTAAATTCATTAGCATATGTATATTGTAGAAGGGTCACCAGAATGCCACATTCTGTATAATTATGGCAATTATGTAAAAATAATAAAGACATTTTATATAATTTTGCATAAACCAATGAGAAGATGCCATGATCATTATAAATCTTTTCCAGACAAGTTAACAAGGATAGGCATTGCTTAATATGTATTAATATCTAATGTCACTTTGGTTAATACAAATTCACGATAGGCCTGCTTCATAGAATCCTTTGCTTAATCTAGCAATTCCTCTTTAACCAAATATTCTAGCTATTGATGCAGAAGATTTTTTTTTCTTCTTTTCTCTTAAAACAAAGATGCTTCTCTTAAAAGCAATAATAGCATGATCTCACATATAGGCTTTATAACTGTCCCATACAATATGTAGAGTGGGTGACTCATGCTGAATTTTTAAAAAATAAGTTTAATTATATAATACAACTCAAAAAGCTATCCTCTTACAACAAAGAAAAACTAAAATATCATCTTCCTTGAACTGGCTTAAGCTTTTAAATTGAAGGCTTAATGTGACCAAATATAAGAAGAGGATGCATAGAAAAACCTAAAACAGTCCAATAATGAAGAGGAAATGAAAAATAATTTAGTCAAAGACACATTGGTTTGTGTGTGAGAGAGAGGTGGTGGGGAGAGAGCACATATAAATTACCCAATATGATATGGACGGTTAGTGAAGCAGAATTATCAAACATTAAGGTAAATATTTAATTTACATAATAGTTTGCTGTGTTACTATTAATACTTAAGGAGCAACTGCTCAGACAACTTATAGTTCTTCCTGATAATATACAGCTGTCCCTCTGCCCTAGCTAGAATAATCAGTAGGAGTTGCAGTCCATTCAGTTTTAAAAGGCCACTTATTGCCTATTCTTCCACTAGAATAATTTGACTGGTGCCTTTGTTCTTAGAGTCTGCATCATTTCTGGACTATACTATTTCTTTTGTGAACCAGTGTTCCCTGTAAAATCTCTGAAACCTCAGCCTGTATCTTACATTATGTTTCTTCTTGATTCTGATAGTATGGTGAAGTTCTTAATTTGCTGATCTCTAACAAGAAGACTGGAAGTGCAGTTGTGGAATTTGCAACAGTAAAAGCTGCTGTAAGTTACTTTAGTTTGTTTTTTAACTTGGAAATATGATGGTGTACCACAGGAGCTATAATAATGCAAGAGGTTCTGCAGACAATTATTAAAGAAGGTAGCATTATAAAATACAGATAGTTCTTGTTTAACAACCACTCATTCAGCAAACATCCAAAGTTACAATGCACTGAATGAGACTTACCGCTAGTCCTCAAAGTTGCAAGTGTTGCAGTGACTCCATGGTCATGTGATTGCAATTTGGATGCTTGGTGACTAGTCTCCAATCACGATGACTGCAGCATCCCATAGTTATCACCATTTGTGACCTTCATGAGCAAGGTCAGTGAGAAAGCCAGCATGAGATCCAATGGTAGGTTCTAGATCCCAATGCAACCGGTGTGGTGCAACAGGGCTCGGCGTCCACCACATGAACATGCGCAGCACACGCGTGCAGCGCACACATGCATCCTTATTTCCTGAGATGCTCCGCAACGCTCCAGCTGCTCGGCAGAGTGTCACGCAGATGCCGTATGCTCCATGCGCGGAAGCTCCAAAGAGCTCAAATACAGGTAAGGACGGTGGGCAGACAGGTGGGCCCTCTGGAGCACCATATCAGAACGGTACCCAGTGCTCCCAGCAGGCACCAATATGCCCGTACTGGGGCGTACCGCCTACAACCCACCACGATGAGGTCCCAAATGGTGATCATGTGACATCACATCTATCAGAAGAATATAACCCTAACTTTGAAGAAGGTTTTCAGAACTCAACTCACAAGGAAGCTGGTTAAAAGAAATCTCATAGCCCTTTTCTCCTCACTCCCTCATCTTTTGGTATGTTAATTCTGGTGCTAGGATAATTAGCAAGAAGAGAATTAATGTTTGAATTTACATTCATTGGAGAGGAAGATATTATAGCAGTCAGGGCACTTAATATACATTCAAAGGAATGCACTAGCACTGTTGTTTGCCTAGTGTGCTAGTGGCTACAAGCAGTGAGTTGCTTAGGAGGCAATCGAAAGCATTTTGTAAAACTGATTAGGGGTCCCCTCCATGTCAGACAGCAGTGCTAGCTAGCTGGAGGGTTCTAATCAACTAATTAAGGTCACAGAGCTGAGCTTATTAATTTGTCTGTAGAGCAGTTTAGCTATGTGCTACACAGAGAAAAGCAGCTCTGGAGAAGATAGCTTGTTTAGGCAATCTGTTATGCTAAAGAGAAGGAAAAATGGGCCAGGCACAGGACAACACCTATTAACTGACTGTAAGGGTGAATACTTGATGGAGAGAGAGAAAGCTGCAAAGGTTGTAAAAGCAGGAATTGGTTGCAAAGTTTCCTCAGTGTTGTAACTGCAAATGGTCACTGTCTGAGGCAGTTGCTAAATGAGGACTATGTGTATAGAACTGGTCTTTAGTGAAGTTACTGCATGTAAAATACAAAATGTTTACAATAGTTGAGAAACCACTCTCAAGTACCTCTGTGGGTGAATGTCGTTACTATTATTATTCTTTTTTATCTGTTTGTAAAATGCCCTCTTGTTTGATATAGGTATCTATTGATATTTATTGATAGATATTGTGGTCTATTGAAAGAATTACAATATATTGTAAAATGATACATCCAACTGGATTATTGTCCTACTGTCAGTTGATATCCTATATCAAGTGATACGAATTAATTTGGCAACTTGGGAGGGAACTCAAAGCAAGCCTGGACTGAACTTCTCAGTTCCTTTTCACACAGCCATTCATTATTTGCCTGCAGCCATTCTTCTGTTTGCTCAAGTTAATTACCAAAGTAGAGTTCAATAAAATACAGATGATCACATGATGCTGTTTGTTTTTATCTGTTAGGAGATGGCAGTGAAGAATGAAGTTGGCCTAACATACAATCCTTTAAAAATCACCTGGCTGGAAGGTCAACCACAGAGTAGCACAGTGTTTGCTGATGGCAGTATTCACCCACATATATCCCAGGTAACACCAATACAAACTGCTTCTATTCTGTTTTAAAGTATAATTTTATTTTACATGTATTTGAGTGCTGCCAACATATTTCTTATATTTCTGATTTGGAAGACATTCTTTAAGCCCCACGTTTTTCTTTTCAGATTTATTCTAACTGAAAAAAATATACATTTTTTGGAATTCACATACGCCCACTAGGCTAGAATTCATACAATTACTGCTAATTAGGAATGTGGAATGAAATATCCACAGTGTTTACTTTGTTGGGGTTACAGAAGAAATAATATTAGCAGCTGAAGAAATGGGAGCCTTTGAAATAGATAAATGTGGTAGTGTTTTTCTGGTAAGGGAATTAGGATAAACAAGTAGCCCTCAAAGGTTCCTTATACTGGGAGCTCATGCTTTAGACAGAAGTTGGGCAATCTATTTGATGCTGAGAGCTGCTCATGTTATCAGATTCAGAGCTACATGCTTATGCATGCGGATTGCAGATCTACCTCCCCCTCCCTTCCCAGCTATCTCAAGCAGAATTGCTAGAAGGGAAACAACATAGCTTCTCTGTCTTCTGTGGGCCATAGTTACCTTGTTCCTACACTCAAAATAAAAATTATGCCTCTAATTATTGGAAACACTTAATATTTTTAAGCAACTCATTAATTTAATACTTTTTTTTTGCAAATATGCAGTATGAAATATCTCAGATACCATCTCCCTGAAATGTAATTCCTCTTAAATATCTTAACTACACTTTCAAATCTCCACATAGACTTGTAGAGTTTAAAATAATATTTAAAAAGACAATTTTGTTCTATGGCTTATAGCATGATAGTTTTTTTTTCTTTTGTTGATGGCAAAATGTGTTTTTGTGAAATATGTCTGCAAATACAATGTTTTATTTTTAAGTGTTCATTTATTTTGATTTTATATCTTCCATCTATTTGACACAATTAGAAAATAATCTGTTAAATAATTTACAGACACAAAGCCAGATAGGTGTCACTAGGTGATGGTAGGAAAACTAAGGAGAATCTGTAGGTACATTGTAAATGTGATCTTTATTATATTATTGTAAGCTGCCTAGAGCAGCCACATAGCGAGATAGGCAGAAAAAAATAGTAAATTAATAAATAAAAGTAATTCTACCGTAGCCTCCCCCCACCCCCTCCCAATTTGATCCTTCCTTGAGTACGACTCCCATAATTTCCAACAAGAATTGTACATATGTGACCTGGGAATATGTTCCTGTCCCCATTTCCCACCTGAAGTGTTGTGGCCTCTGCTCAAATGTAAACAAACCAAATTAAGAGATTTTGGTCTTAGTTTGGCCTCCTTTCTGGCAATATGTGGGTGAAAAAAAATTTGTTATGTACTTAATGAGCAGGTATATTGCCAGCTTTTTTTAAAGAAGCATTTATTATGTGTGATAATAAGTAATAATTACTGATTACTTTGTTAATAGGGAATTTGGTAATTTGGGCTTAATTCACAGTGACTGGTCCTGAGAAACTGCTTTGCAATGACCCTGAGGTTTATTGCACCGGGTGTAGCTCCACCTTGGACATATTTAGAGCTCTTTAGAGTGATTGCCTTTCTACTCCTATTCCACAGGACTGCGTTTACTGCCATAGCTTATCTTGACCAGAATGCATTAGAGAAAAATGCTATGGCCAGCAATACTCAACTGGATAGAATCCATGAGAAACCCCAGGTTATATGGGTTATTTGTTATTAACTTAACAACTGCAATTATTTACTTAACAATTGTGACAAGAATGATCGTAAAATGGGGCAAAACAACTACACTACTTTGCTGATCAATGGAAATTTTGAGCTCATTTTTTTTTAATGTTCGCAAGATTGGCAGAGCTATCGCAAGCAGTCCTGATATATATTGTTGGTTCTAAATCCCATTCCTAAGAGTGAAAGTGGATCAACTGATTACAATTAAAAGTTTTTGCTCATGTTTTGGTAATAGAACCCTGGTGTTAAGTAGAGGTAGTCTTTGACCTATAACCTCAATCGAACCCAAAATTTCCATTGATCAACAAAGCAGTTGCTGAATTTTGCCCCAGTTTATGCTCTTTCTTGCCACAATTGTTAAGTGAATAACTGCAGTTGTTAAGGTAATAACACGGTTGTTAAGTGAATCTGGCTTCCCCATTGACTTTGCTTGTCAGAAGGTTGCAAAAGGCAATCACATGATCCAGGGACATGTAACTGTCATAAATACATGCCAGTTGTCAAGCATCCGGATTTTGATCATGTGACCATGGGATTGGTGCAATGGTCATAAGTATGAAAACTGGTCATGTCACTTTTTTCAGTGCCATTGTAACTTCCAGTGGCCACTAAAGAAATGGTTGTAAGTCAAGTACTACCTGTATTGCTTGTTATGTCATTGAAGATGGCAACATCTAGCTGAATTGGCCTGAACTCAAAAAAGCTAACCAAGTCAGATCTGATTAAGATTTGAATGGGATTTAACCAGATTATCTCAAGAGTACAGTTTAAAATGAGAAATTCAAAAAACATTACAGGAGAACACAGAGACGGATCTCTTCCATATGTTGCCAAAAAACATGGGTGTGTATCCATGGAGTCACTAGGAGTCAAGAATGATTCACGAGAGATGTTAGCCATTGCTTCTTATGAAGTCTTTTCTTTATTACTTATTTTGTTTTTTCTTCTTTTCAAGGGGCCATTGGACATGTCTTTGCTAAAAGGTTTTTTTTAAAAAAAATTAGACGCTCCAATTAAGTATATAGCTTATAGTGGCAAGGTAGTTGTGCTAAATAAATAAAGTCCTTGTTAGATCGTGGAGGTTGGACTGTTCTGTTCCAATATTATTAGGTGATCCATTGCTGAATTACGTTTTTGACTACACAGCAGCAATTTAATGCAATTATA